CAGTATTGAAGGCAAAAGGTGGCCCAACGAAGTACTGATGGGGTGGTCATAATAATCTGGCCACTCATGTTCAAATATATCCCACGTTGTTTACCCGTATCTTCAGAAAAAAATCACTTCTACTGTCATGGTAAACAACCTGCTTCCCTATTTATAATGGTCTAGCCCTCTAGCAACTTTAGCGTGAAATTATAGCTAATTTGCCTACAAACGTCAGGTGATCATAATAATCTGGCCACTCCAGTATGTTGCTGGGGGAATAGGTAAGAAACACTATAATTAGATATCTCGTGTGACTGCCTTGCTTCTGTTAACTGAAGTGAATTAAGGGGGAATTTTTTTATTTCCAAAATGTATTAACTCCTGAATGTATTTATCCTAGGGAGTTGATGAGAAATGTAAATGAAGATCTAGATACAAAGAAACTCATCACAGTATTATTTTATTATAAATATTAACATTTTCAAATATTCAATAATAGGGAAATAGTTAAATTATTTTTTGTTTGTCTCCTGCAGGCGAGGATCAAGCCTGCAACCCAGGTATATGCCCTTGACTAGGAATTGAACCCAAGACCCTTTGGTGTGTGGGCTGATGCTTGAACTACTGAGCCACATGGCCAGGGCTAAAATGAACTTGTTAAAAAGTAATAATGGGGAAATGGTCACAATTTTAGTAGTAGTAAAAAGCATTGTATAAAAATCCTATATAATAAAACCCTAATATGCAAATCGACCGAATGGTGGAATGACCGGTCACTATGATGTGCACTGACCACCAGAAGGCTCAATGCAGGAGCTGCTGGTGGTCAGCAGTGCGCACCCACAGGGGGAGTGCCGCTCAGCCAGAAACCAGGCTCACGAATGGCAAGTGCAGCAGCAGTGGCCGGAGCCTCTCCTGCCTCTGAGGCAACGCTAAGGACCCCTCGGGGGATGTCCGCCTGCCGGCTTAGGCAGACATCCCCCGAGGGGTCCCAGACTGCGAGAGGGCGCAGATGAGTCTGAGGGCCCCTCCCACCCCCCAGTGCATAAATGTTGTGTACCGGGCCTCTAGTATTCTATATAATATAAAGGACATTAAAATTATTAGATGTGGAAGCATATCCAATATGGATACAAACAAATTTCATACTAATAAGGAAACAAAGTTTAGAAAAATATATTTCAAAACATCGCTAATATTAATAGCAGTTATTTCTGAGTTACAGATTATGGATGATTTTTCTTATATGTGTGTATGTTTTCTATAAGTACAAAGAAGCCTATAGTACTTTTCTAACCATAAAAAAAAAAAAGTTAAAAAAATTTAAATCCTTACTGTTAGTATCTGAAAATAAATTTTCAGAATGTGTTATGGTGAAAATATATATGATGATTTATATAAATCCCTGAACATGGTATTTAGAACACAGTAAATGCTCAATAAGTGATAGCTGCTGCTGTTGTTAGTTATTTAAGGAAGATAGCCTCCTGTGACCAGAGCCTGACGCTTTCTATATTGGGAGGTTATATCACTGAGAAAATATCCTATTCATTCAGCTTCTTGTCTTGAGATCAATAAATATGCTGTCCTTCTATTCATACAATACTGGCAACAGGATCTTTTTAAAAAAGAAAAAGGACTAGAGTGAAATGTTTTGTTTTTCTTTTATGAAGGTATAGAGGAAACTGATGTAGAGAGAGGCCTAGTAGTGATTTCCTTTGCAGTGACTTTGTTTTTTAGCTTTGATATAATTTATGGCTCCCATTACAAGTTGTTTTTACCCTCCTTTTTGGGTTGTCTCCTTAAGAATTCTTGGAAAATTTGAAACACTGTAATGGGAAAAGTTTTTTTCACTGTTCTAGGTATTTCTGGTACTTTGTCTGTTGCTTCTCATGTTTGTCTGCCCTTATAGATTGGGTCCTCTGGAACCGAGTGCTGACAAAAGATGTAGACTTCCATCTATTTTGGATGTGTTTGGAAACTGAGATGTGCATGTAAGAAACTATATTCAGCATGTGAAAAACATACTGAAAATATACATGTGATAGCTGTTTTTACTGGGCAGTAGTGTCAGATATTCTTAACATTGACTCTTTATTCATATCCTATATAATAAAGAGGTAATATGCAAATTGACCATCATGCCCTTGCATAAGATGGCTGCCCCCAGGTCATCACAAGATGGCTGCCACAAGATCGCCGACAGGGGAGGGCAGTTAGGGGTGACTGGGCTGGCAAGGGAGGGCAGTTGGGGGCAACCAGGCCTGCAGGGGAGGGTAGTTAGGGGTGATCAGGCTGGCAGGGGAACAGTTAGGAGTCAGTCAGGCTAGCAGGGGAGTGGTTAGGGTGTGATCAGGCTGGCAGGCAGAAGCGGTTAGGGGCAATCAGGAAGCCAGGCAGGCAAGTGGTTGGCAGCCAGAAGTTCTGGATTGTGAGAGGGATGCCCTGGGGATCGGGCCTAAACCGGCAGTTGTACATCCCCCGAGGGGTCCAAGATTGGAGAGGGTGCAGGCTGGGCTGAGGGACACCTGCAGTGAATTTCATGCACTGGGCCTCTAGTTCACTATAATTCTTAATGTGTCTTGTATAATAAGTACATGATGTAGTACATAGTCATAGAAAAAATTACTATAGTATCTTTAAATTTTTATTTATTGAATTGAGAGCGAGAGAGAGAGAAACATTGATTTGTTGTTCCACTTATTTATGTACTCATTGGTTGCATGTATGTGCCCTGACTGGGAATTGAACCCACAACCTTGGTGTATCCAGACAATTCTCCAACCAACTGAGCTATCCAGCTGGGGCCACTATAGTCCTTCCTATCTGAGACCATTTTCTATAATGCACAATAATGTGAATGTACTTAGTGTCACTGAACTGTATACCTAAAAATGATTAAAACAAAACACAACAGTATAAACCAGATGAAAATATATAGTTTCCAAGCTACTTTTAATCCTTACATCAGATTCTGCTTCTCAGCATTCACTTACCACCATAGACTAGAAGGTAGGGATCAAAGTTGCTTGTTGCATCCAGATATATTACATCAATTATTGTGAAAAGCATGCTAGGAAAGGGGAATACTTTATAAGTCAGGTGAATTTTATGTTAATGAGCACCATTGGGGAGAATGGTCAGTTTTTTGTGTGTAGTCTCCTCATCTAGTTTGTAATTATCTGTTTCCTCTTTTCTTCAAGGAGGTCTGTAGCTGAGGGAGAACGAATGGGGGCATATGGTATGTGAAAAGCAAATGTATTATTTCCTCATTTGGACATGGTTTCTCTAAGTATAGTGGGGCGGGGTTGGGAGGAGAGGATAGAGAAGAGGATAGACATAGAATTCCCAGGACTGTATGAGCTGATTGTGATTTAAGAATATGGAGCATAAGAGCCTGATATCTGTTTTAATGCTAATTTTAATATTTAAAACAAAGTTAGGGAACCCTAACTGGTTTGGCTTAGTGGAGAGAGCATTGGTCTGCGGACTGAAGGGTCCCAGATTGAATTCTCATCAAGGGCACATGCCCGGGTTGTGGGCTCAATCCCCAGTAGCGGCCTTGCAGGAGGCAGCTGACCAATGATTCTCTCTCATCATTGATGTTTCTAGCTCTCTCTCCCTCTCCTTTCCTCTCTGAAATCAATAAAAATATAATAAAGAAAAAAGTGCCCTGACCGGTTTGGCTCAGTGGATAGAGCGTCGGCCTGCGACTGAAGGGTCCCAGGTTCGATTCCGGTCAAGGGCATGTACCTGGGTTTCGGGCACATCCCCAGTAGGAGGTGTGCAGGAGGCAGCTGATTGATGTTTCTCTCTCATCAATGTTTCTAACTCTCTATCCCTCTCCCTCTTTGTAAAAAATCAATAAAATATATTTTTTAAAAAAAGAAAGAAAAGAGCCCTGACTGGTTTGGCTCAGTGGATAGAGCATCGGCCTGCAGACTGAAAGGTCCCATGTTTGATTCCAGTCAAGGGCATGTGCCTTGGTTGCGGGCACGTCCCCAGTGGAAGGTGTGCAGGAGGCAGCTGATGGATGTTTCTCTCTCATGGATGTTTCTAACTCTCTATCCCTCTCCCTTCCTCTCTGTAAAAAATCAATAAAATATATTTTTTTAAAAAGTTAGGAAAACTTACAAAGTTTAGCAGTCTTAAATTAAAACTTTTAGCTCTCTGTGTATTATAGCATGGGAAGCTTCAATACTGTGATTTTAGCTAAGCGGCACTCCCCTTATATTAATCCCTCAGTTTGTGCTGGTGTTGGTTTTTCACAGTTCAAGGATTTCTGAATTTCTCTACTGAAATTTAAAAAGGCAGTATCTCCAGAGTTTCAAAGATCCCTTGTTATTTGTATAGATTCATTGTCATTGCTATTGACTTTTCCCCCACTATTCATTTTTAGTATATCAGAATGGCAGTATTTCTTATTTGTCTGTAGAGACTATTCTTTGACAGTATTTGCAACAGTTTGTGTGGAAAATGCTTTATTAAAAAAAAAAAAAAGTAAGGAGAATCTCAGCTTATAGCTCTTAGTGATAAAGCCTGTTGCCATGGAGTCCTGGATCAGATTGGCTGACCTGGTGGCCAATGAGCAGATAGAACAATAGAACATAAACACATCATCATTTAATCTTGCAGAATTATTTACTCAGTGATATATGACATTAATACCATAACTGTATATAGAGCAGTGAAATAAAGTTTCAAGAATGGTATATGGTATTCTTCTCTTTTCTTTCAGAATTTGCCATTTACTATAAACACTGTAATGATCCATTATCTTCTTAATATGATTTATTTGGGAGAAGATGTGATAGGAAATGTCTAGTACCTATTTGTGAATCAAGCTGCTGCTGCTGCTGCAGTCAGTTGGACTTATGCCAAGTCTAAGTCAGATTCTGGCCTTCTAGACCAAGAGGAGATTTATCTTTATATCTGAAGCCTCCTTGCTTATTTTGGTAGCTCTAGAGCTGAGTCAGGAGTTGGCAGCTTTTTCTTAACTTGTTTTTCCTTCTTCCTCTTCCATTCCAGTATGGTAGATCCTGTTGATGTTACATTTATATACCAGGGTCTGGAGTTGGATTAGCTGGGAGTAGCTTCCATGTTTTCCATCGTCACTTCCCTAGCTTGTTCTTTTTGACATAGGTCTGTACCTATGATCATAGCATGTATCTTATTGCTTTAGAGATTGGGAATGGTTCACTCATACAAAAAAAAAATTCCCCTCTAGATCTTGTAAACTAAAGAAGTCAAGAGTATTATGTTTCTCTTTCTTATGTTTTACACTAGAGACCCAGTGCACGAAATTCGTGTATGGGGGAGGGGGGCCCCTCATCCCGGCCTGCACCCTTTCCAATTTGGACATCCCTCTCACAATCTGGGACCGCTGGCTCCTAACCGCTCACCTCCCTGCTGGCCTGATCCCCCTAATTGCTTTCCCCTGCCGGCCTGAACCCCCTAGCCGGCCTGACCCCCCTAACTGCTCTCCCCTGCTGGCCTGATCACCCCTAACCCCCTCTGCCTTGGCCCCGCCACCATGGCTTTGTCAGAAGGACGTCCAGAAGGTTGTCCAGAAGATGTCCGGTCTAATTAAGATATTACCCTTTTATTAGTATAGACTATTAGTATAGATTAGGGATACTTGAGAAATTATGGTGGGTCTTGTTCTCTTCCCCTTCAATGCTCCCAGGCTTGGCTATTTACAGATTTAAAGGATTGAAAGAGACTCAAGAGGTCCATAAGTTTGTTCCCCTCTTTTGAGCTATTGGAGTCTTTATGAGTCAACTTTTCATTATGCCATCGCCTTCTGTCTCACAGAAAAACAGATAAATAAACAAACTTCAGATTCATCTATTAAGAAAAGAGAAGCAAATAGTCTGTTTAGCATCTGATTAACTGTTTGTGGGGAGGCCTAAGGAAGTAGGATAGGAAGTATTTGAGGTTTTGTAATTTTAGTTATTGTGACCAGAGAAAGGCTCATTGAGATGGCATTTGAACACAGACCTGAGGAAACTGAGTAAGCAAGCCATGCTGTTATCTGAGAAATCATTTCAAGCATAAGGAAGGAACAGTAAAAAGCAATCACCCTAAAGTGGGTTTAGGATACAGGGAGGAGCCTGTGTGATGAACTGCATAAGTGTGTGTTGGGGCGGAGGGGCGGTAGGAGGTAGTAAGAGATGGGGTCTGAGGGAAAACTAGTGGTCATTGTAAGGTCTTGTAGGTCATTTTAAGGACTTGGGATTTTGCTCTCAGCCATTGGAGCGTGTTGAGGAAAGGCATAATATGGTCTGAAAATGTTTTTACACAATTACTCTGGCTGCTATGTTTAGGAAATACTGTGGGGTATCAAGAGTGGAAGCAGGATACCAGATAGGCTATTTCAGTCATTCAGCCAAGAAAGTTGGCAGCTTGGACCAGGGTGGTAGCAGTGAAAGTGTAGGAAGTCATTAAATTTTGGATATATTTTGAAATTAGAGTCAATAGGATTTGCTACCTAATCATTTAGATACTCAGTTTACATGATAATATCTACTTATAAAATGTAGCTCTGCACATACAATAGAGTAATTTTTTTAAAATACATTTTTATTGATTTCAGAAAGAACGGGAGGAAAGTGAGATAGAAGCATCAATGATGAGAGAGAATCATTGATCGGCTGCCTCTTGCACGCCCCACACTGGGGATCGAGCCCACAACCCGGGCATTTGCCCTTGACCGGAATTGAACCTGGGACCCTTCAGTCTGCAGGCTGACGCTCTGTCCGCTGAGCCAAACCAGCTAGGGCATGCTTGCTACTTCTTATACTCCAGAGATTGAATGTTCTTTATTTTGATGATTGCTGCCCCTAACTCACCCAGTAATGATGCTCAGCCTTTTCCTTGCAGCAGAGGTAGCATTGGAGCCCCAGTGTAATGATCTTATATCCTCCATAAAAATGCTAATTTCCCTTATTTTACCTCTTTCCTCATAAGTACATATAAACTCCAGGGTGATGCTGCAGGATTCCTTGCTTATAGTAATTGAAGAATGATTATTATTACTTTTATCATTATTATTAGAGTATATGTGTATGCTTTTAATATATATATGTACAGCAAAACCTAAATAAGTATCTTAAACAGGAAGAAGTTTATTTTTCTCTCACATTCAGAAAATTCAGAGGTAGTTAGTCCAGTCAGAGGCTGGTCTAGTCAAGGACCCAGGTTTCTTCATCTGTTGCCTGTCTGTAGTTTTCAATCCAGTATCATCTCACAGTCCCAAAAGGCTGCTGAAGCACCAGCCTTAACTTCTACAATCAAGCCAGCATGAATTAAGGATAAGTAAAGAAAGGCTGTCCACCTCCTTTAAAGATACTTCATAGTACTACTTGTATTAGTTTCTTATGGCTGCCATAACAAGTAGCACAGACTGGAATAATGATCCTAAAGATTTCCAATTTCTTCATGTGAAATTAGATTATTCCTATCTCATTTCTCTGGCCAGTCTCACATTCAATTTTAGGTTTTGAAAGATTCTTTTAATACTAAATTGTTGGCTTAGGTGTCCTCTTCACCTGACAGGTGGTGGTGTTGCAGAATTTACCAGGCAACCAGAAAATACACGAGTACCCAGAGATTCAGGAAAGACCCTTTATTTAAAGCAGCGCTGCTAGCCCAGGGGATTCGAAGATCCAAAGCCTAAACAGCTAATACAATGAGATCATCCCCTATATATTCCTAAATATCTTTGTTTCCTATTTGTTTCCTAACTACCCAGCTTTTGTGGCAGGCTTTCACAGCCTCTCCTGAGTCAGTTAGAATGGGGAAGTTAGATTCTATCTAAATGCTTGGCCTGGGTGGTGCCAGCAACCCCCCCTTCCAGCCAAGCTGCCAAATTCCCGGCCTGGGGCCCCTGCAAACTGGGAGCACCCAAGCCTAAGGAAGGGCAATGACTTAATTATAGGCTGACGCGAATGTGCACTAGGACACCGATCACTGGCACAGATTCAGATTGCTAGCCCCCCTCCCCCAGGTTGCCCCCTATATTCCTCCTCAGTGGCATTGACCTCTCAGGTCAGTCTCAGGTGGCATTGACCTCTAAAGTCATCACAGTAGGGCAATATAGACTTAGCTGCATGGCATTTAAGTTAGCAGTAGAAGGCATCCTGAAATGCCATTAACAGTAAGTAAATTGTGATTTTTTTTTTCTTTCCAGAATGTCTTGTCTGGGTTGAGTTGGAAGCAATTTTGCCAGGGCATGGGAAA